ACTGGGCTAGATCATTATTTCATTGTGTTTTCAAGCCCACCAGGATTCAGGGAAGGCACCTCTTGTCTGCCTCAATTCGTTTCTCAGGGCAGCCCTGAAGAGCAGGGAACGTGCGCTCCCATTTCACAGCTGGGGAAAACCAAGGTTGAGCAAAGGAAACTCCACCCTGCGCAATCTGCGGGGGACCCGAACACCCATTTTTTGAATCTCAAGCCGTAACTCAAAACCTCTAGACTAGAGCTGGAGAAACCAGCTGGGCTGGAATTGCACAACGATGCAGCACCTCCCCTATTGCAAGGGGGGGGGGGGCCAGCCTCCCACGTTATCCTGTTCATCCTCCATCAAGGATGAACGGTGGGGATGCATCCAAAGGCCCCACCTTCCCAGGCTCTAAATTTGGGGGGGGCACCCCAAAGGATCTTTCGCCCTCGCTCAGGGAGCAAGAAAGTCGAAGGACCATCCTTGCCCCGAGGACAGATTCCATCTCCCTCGAAGTCCAGATCCAGTGGAGAAAAAAATCAAATCCATCGTTTCCAGCACTGATTTGTAAATTTAATAATAATAATAATTTATTAAATTTATATGCCGTCCGACTCCCAGCGACTCCGGGCGCTTTACGATGGTCAATTTTTTTTTAATGGATTTGTCCTTACTCGCTTACTTTGCGAGCGACCCTCGACCGTCTAGCCCAGCGTTTCTCAACCTTGGCAACTTTTAAGATAGGTGGACTTCAACTCCCAGAATCCCCCAGCCACATTTGCAGATAGATTTCTCTTCCTGTGCGTACCTGCGCGCGCTTTCCATCCATCTGCATCGCTCCACAAAGTTCATCCTGGCCATGCAGCCTTTCACAGATTCTCTGCACGAAAGCAACCGTTTTTGCGAATCCTTTCCCTGAATATATCCATTTTCAGAGCATCCATCTTCCGAACTGCACTGAAAAATTCTGTGAAGGAAAAAAAAAACGATGTTCTAAAGCTTTTGCATTTCCCTCCAGGCATTCCGTTGGAGAAATATGAACATCCTAAATTTGTATTTCTTCCCATGGTTATCTCTCTCCAGTTTCTTAACTCACATGTCATTTTCCACGCCTAGAGATGCAATCATGCTCCCATTAGCCAAATGCAGTTGGCACAGCAACTCCAGATGATGATGATGATGATGATGATGATAATAATAATAATAATAAGAGGAGGAGGAAGAAGAAGAAGAGGAGGGGGAGGAGGGGGAGGAAGAAGGAGAAGGAGAAGGAGAAGGAGAAGAGCAGCAGCAATCATATTTAACCAGCATGATGTTGGCTGAATAGCCAAACATTCAAAGCTAGATGGGTTTCTCTGCTGTATTCATTTTTTAAACATTTTCAGTTTTGCTGGCAAAAAAGAAAACCCCGCAAAAATTAGTGAGTGTTGCGAAATGCAACCCCGAGGAAACGCACACCGCTCCTCAACTGCGAATGGATACGAAAACACTGGACGGACCAGAAACGCGAGCTAAGTCAGAAACGCGAGTCGAACCCACATCACACAGCCGAGCAATTGTGGTCTGTCCCAAGCACAGCGTTTTATTTTTTGCCAAGTGTTGGGTCTGTCCTGGCTGAAGCCTTTCTGATGTTCCCGCTGCATCTCTGCGTCTCGCATCAAAGGGAGACCGGGATCTCCAGCACATCCAGAGACGGAGTCTGCACACAGCCACGATGCGCTTTTGCGCAACTGGCAAAAAGCAGCTTTGCGTGCATCAGAAATGGAGGCTGCCCCACAGGGAGACCTGCCACACTAAGCAGCCTTTAAGTTCAGCCACCTGCAATTTGCACCATACTTGTGCACGGCGAATCGCACAAGCGCCAAAGCCAACCAGGCAGCCAATGGGGAGACTGTCACTCCCATTTCCATATCGGATGGAGGAACGCCGCGTTTTTACGCCCAGTGTCCAGCCAGGACAGGAAAGGCCCACGGAAAACAGATTTCCACCCCTTTATCCTGTTCAGGTTTTTTTAATTTCTTCCTGCCAGGCAAGTCGATCCTGAAAAAGCAAAGATTTCTCCATCCTGGATACTCCCAAGATTTTCGCTCTCGGCAAGGCAGCTCTGGGTGGAATATTTAATTTCTTTTTTTAAAAATAAATTTTCAAAAGAGAGTCTGCAGGAATGAAAGGAGCAGGTAAGGAATTGGGGGGGGGTGTCTGATTTTGAGCCTACTTCCCCATAGTTTTCTGGAGAGAGGGCAGAGTCTGTGTTTTATGTGGCTGGAAAACATCCGAAGGGTCGCGAATAATGCACTTCGATTATGATGGAAAAGTCCGTGCCGATCTGGTTGGGTTTAACCCAAGCTGCTAGTCCTCAGGAAGGAAACAAGGGGAGGCCATTAGCGGCTTCAAAGGGGTTGTGTTTCTAAAGGCACAAATGAAGCTATCTGCGCACACATGAAAATTTAATTCTTTCTCTCTTTCTTATGTCTATTTTATTCCACCCGCTCCCCCTCCCTTTAATCTTTCTTTCCTTTTTATTCATGTATTTCCTTTATATTTTTGATTTCTTTTCATTTTTGTATTTAGGTTTTTCCTGATTTTTGTTTCCTGTTTATTTATGTATCCATGTATTTCTTTACTGTTTTCATTTCCGTGTATTTACTGACTTTCTTTACCTTTTACGCAATTATTTATTTTACTTTTTACTTTATTTCCTTTTTCATGCGTTTACTTGTTTTCTTATCACCTTTTTTGTGTATTTAATTGATTGACTTATTATGTTTACTTCCTTTTCTTTACGTGTTTCTTTTTTGACTTCACTGGCTTTTTATATTTATGTATCGATTTCGTTTACTGACTTTTGTTATTGACTTTTATTGACTCCAATTTTATTCCTTGGGCTTCCCTTCACGTATTAAAAGTTTAGAAGAAAACTGTCATCCTAGATAACATCCTTTTTGGCACGCGCCAAGCTCTGCCGTGCTCAATAACATGAAGAGGGAGGAGGATGGGAACCGGAGTCCAACAAGATCTGGAAATACTTCGGCCAGGATGTGTGTGTGAGTGAACGTTCACAGAAGGCAGGAAAGGGTGGAAGAGGTTGTGACGTTAAAATGTTTAAAAGCTGAACTGGGGCAAGAGCCATCTTTGCTGAAAGATTTCTTTTCGTCATTGTATTTTATTTATTTGTGCTCTTATACCGCCGGGCTCGACGACGACGACGCCTGGCAGTTTTTAGCCCAGAGATTCCAAAGCAAAATTAAAGATGGAGGAATCAAATCTTTTCCACCTCGCGTTTCAAGCGTGCGCATCGTTCCAAGATGGTTTTACCAAATGTGCCGCCGGAAACGTCCCCACCAGACAGTACAAGAGAAATGCCTATTTTACAGCCTGCCGTGGGCATCACTAGAGACAGAAGTTCATTGAGGGAGGCCTCGGTTTATTCATTTCAAGCAGGGCGCGGAAGTGGAAAGGTTACCCACCGGTGATAAACCCCCGTTCCTATTTTTCAGGAGCCAAGGGCAGCATGGCAGTGGCTGGAGACTCTTCGGAGCTGGAGTGGGCCATCCAGACCCTGGTGAAGAATTACGACAAATACGCCGGAAAAGGCTGCTGTTGCCGGAAACGGCGCGGGATCAGGAAGTGCGATTTCCGAAAGATGCTGAAACGCGAGCTCAACCACATGCTGACGGTGAGGAGGGCGGCTCCCATCCTTGATGGCTGTCTGAATTTGGGCTCGAATGCACGGGGGAATTTAGGTCCGGCTCGGAAAGGGTGGCTTAGCCTGGGGATGTAGAAAGCGCAAGAGAGAGACTGGGAAAAAGCCCCGCCTTGACCTTGTGGTCCTTAAAATTTTGGGTGGGACTTTAAGATTTAGTTATCATACCCTACAACGTCAAAGTAGCATTCTTAGAACCGCTGCGGTTTCGGTAATGGTATGTGGGAAAGACCTTGAGAAATGGGGCAAAGAGACGCTGCCAAGGGAACGGTCGGATAAGAGACGGCTTAGCCCTCAGCCGCATAATGGATGGAGAAAGAGACTCAGAAGGGACCCTCCCTAGTTTCTCGGGCTGTGAAGGAGATGGGAGATTTGTACTTTCAGACTTGCAAGATTGACATCAGCCTTACCAGGTAGACCAAACAGGAAACATCATCAGATGAGCAAATTCTACTTTATTGTAAGGCTACATTAACAGAATCTTGCAAGTCTGAAAGTGCAGTTCTCCCCCCGTCTCTTTTACAGC